TTATCACCTTTTATGTACAAAAAAGCATCACAAGTACTGTCACCAATTATTGCAATTATTGCGGACATCAACCAAATCTTTCAGTGGGCTGCAGAAAACAATATGAAGTTCAACGATGAGAAATTTCAATTACTCAGATATGGTAAACATGAGGAAATTAAATCTTCATCAGAGTACAAAACAAATTCTGGCCACAAAATAGAGCGAAACACCAACGTCGAAGACCTGGGAGTGATCATGTCGGAGGATCTCACCTTCAAGGACCATAACATTGTATCAATCGCATCTGCTAGAAAAATGACAGGATGGATAATGAGAACCTTCAAAACTAGGGAGGGCAAGCCCATGATGACACTCTTCAGGTCACTTGTTCTATCTAGGCTGGAATATTGCTGCACACTAACAGCACCTTTCAAGGCAGGTGAAATTGCCGACCTAGAAAATGTACAGAGAACTTTCACGGCGCGCATAACGGAGATAAAACACCTCAATTACTGGGAGCGCTTGAGGTTCCTAAACCTGTATTCCCTGGAACGCAGGAGGGGGAGATACATGATTATATACACCTGGAAAATCCTAGAGGGACTAGTACTGAACTTGCACACGAAAATCACTCACTACGAAAGCAAAAGACTTGGCAGACGATGCACCATCCCCCCAATGAAAAGCAGGGGTGTCACTAGCACGTTAAGAGACCATACAATAAATGTCAGGGGCCCGAGACTGTTCAACTGCCTCCCAGCACACATAAGGGGGATTACCAACAGACCCCTGGCAGTCTTCAAGCTGGCACTGGACAAGCACCTAAAGTCAGTTTCTGATCAGCCGGGCTGTGGCTCGTACGTTGGTTTGCGTGCAGCCAGCAGTAACAGCCTGGTTGATCAGGCTCTGATCCACCAGGAGGCCTGGTCACAGACCGGGCCACGGGGGGGCGTTGACCCCCGGAACTCTCTCCAGGTAAACACTCTTTAACAAATCCATCGAATCCTCCACCTTCCCAGCAATTCTCAAAACAGCGAGGGTCACTCCGATCCACAAAGGTGGTGATAAAACTGACTTGAATAACTGTAGACCAATATCTAACCTACCTCGTCTCACACAACATACTAAACCCTTGTCAGTTTGGATTTAGGACTAATAAAAGCACAAATGATGCTATTATACACATGCTAGAACTAATATACACTGCTCTTGAGAAGAAAGAAGTCCTGCTGGGAATCTTCATTGATTTACATAAAGCTTTTGATACAGCTGACCGTGATTTGCTACACATTAAATTAACACACTATGGTATAAAAGGGCACACTCTCAACTACCTAAAGTCATACCTTAGTAACAGAAGCCAATATGTGTACACAAATAGAGCAAACTCTTCCACTCAACCAATCAGTGTCACAAAAGGAAGTGTCCTTGGACCACTCCTCTTTCTCATTTACATCAATGACCTACTGAATGCACCACAGCTACTCAAACCCATATTATTTGCAGATGACACAACATACATCTTCACTCACCCAAACCCAGTCATACTGGCTAACACTGTTAATGCCGAATTGCAGAGAATAACTACCTGCATGATGACAAATAAGCTTACACTCAATACTGACAAAACCCATTTCATTCAGTTTGAAAACAGAGCTGCAAATGTTCCACTTAACATAACACTAAATGGATCACCTATCACAAGACTCACAGAGGGAAAATTCTTAGGAATCCAACTTGACAGTAGCCTCAAATTCCAGACACACATACAACAAATTTCTAAGAAAATCTCTAAGACAGTAGGCATACTATCAAAGATATGGTACTATGTATATTTCACAATCAGCTCTCCTGGCACTGTATCATTCACTCATCTACCCTTATCTCACATATGGAATCTGTGCACGGGGATCAACAACATTAAATCACCTAAGACCACTAATAACCCAGCAAAAGGCTGCAGTCAGAATGATAACAAATTTCCAATCCCAACAGCATACTCCACCAATATTCAAAAGTCTAAAACTGCTCACCGTTAAGAACATCCACCTATTCACCCTAAATTAAATACTCAATACTCAACATTTAACTTTACCAAAAAATCTCCCAATTACCTAAATCTTAAAACTTCAAATCTAGATGCCCAAAGTTCATACATTATTAATACTACATTGTAGTATAAATACTTACCCAAAACAATACTGCCTTACACCCAATGGTAGCATTCTCATACTATAAACTACTTTCAACAACTCACAATGTTATATTCCCATAATATAATTTCAATATTTATTATTGAAACTATTGTAACTAGAGTAAAATTACTGTCTACTATAAATAAAATAGATGTACAACTTAAACTATGATCAATTTCTTTAGTATTAAGTAGTCTGTAAGCCATTAATTAAGTCTGGCCATAATGTCTAGGGATGAAAGTGGCTCTTTGTACTGCAATTCATTATTGTAATTTCATAATCTCAATGTAATCTTGCAAAGAAATAAATTTTGTTTGTTTGTTTTGTTTACACAGGGTTTTACAAGGTTAGGTTAAGGATTCCTAACTTTATTTACAAGCTAAGGGCTGTGTAAAGTAAAAGGACACAAGTGCAACTAATGTGACATTTTATTGTGGCAACGTTTCGCTCTCCAGGAGCTTTATCAAGCCATTACAAACAATACATGGACACAGAGGGTATATAAAGGCTCAGAGTGAGGTGCAGTATTAGTGAGGTACCATTTAGATGTTCACTAGTGGTAGTAGTAGTAGTAGTAGTAGTGACAAAAGTAGTAGTAGTAATACTACTACTACTACTACCACTAGTGAACATCTAAATGGTACCTCACTAATACTGCACCTCACTCTGAGCCTTTATATACCCTCTGTGTCCATGTATTGTTTGTAATGGCTTGATAAAGCTCCTGGAGAGTGAAACATTGCCACAATAAAATGTCACATTAGTTGCACTTGTGTCCTTTTACTTTACATATTGTCGGTAATTCTACCAACTTTATTACAAGCTAAGGGCTGTTACCTACATCAGCTCATTTAAAAGCCTTTTTACTGTTATGAGACATACAAGTAGGGAACAGGATGGAGTTGGAGCCATTTGTGGGCCAGCAACTTCATTTGATTAACTGACTTTATCTCACTGATATCAATATGCTTCATGAACACGTTCCAGACTCGAGTCATCTTGTGAATAAATGATCTCAGTTGAAGTGATGTTCTGGAGAAGGTTACAGTCAGAGTGAAGTTGCTGCTTGCTGCCCACCTTGGTGTGTAGAAGCTCACTTCTCTCTGTCCTCGGAGTGGGGCCAAGTGTGGTACTTCGACAATACTGGCCTTGTACATAACAGTATGACTGCCTACATCCCTCCTGTATTGAAGGCTCTGCTGAAATGACAGATCTATCCAGGCTGGGTCCAGGTGAGAGATGAGGCATCTTGCTCTGTTCTCTACTCTATCAAGATACATCTAAGTGCTGTAAGCTTCCTTGCTGCCTTGTTTGCAACATTTATGTGGTCTTAATGATCAGTTTGGAGTCAGATTTCCTTACAAGGATATCAACCTCGTCCCCAGGTACCAACACTCTCCCATTCATACTTACTACTACTCCGGCATTACCATCATGGTGCCTAGAGACCATCATCATTTGTGTTTTCTCAGGAGCAAATGTTACCTGCCATCATTTACCCCAGGCTGATATAGTTTTTAAATGGTGATTGATGTAGCTTAGAGCAGCTGGCATTTCCTCTCTTGGATAAGTAAATGTCAGAGTACAGTCATCTGCATATGCATGGGATTCTGGGATGAGATGAAGGCCACTGAAGTAGACATTCCATACCACTTCCCTGTGGAACACTTACCCAATAGGATGTCTTGCTGACTCTGTCCCACTGAAAACTACACTTACCTTAAAGGTAATCCTCTTTTCCATCTCTCCCTATGCAAAAATGCTATGCACATAAAGGGCCCAAAGATTTGGAATTCACTACCAGAGAACACTAAAGGACCCCTGTCTGCAAATCAGTTCAAGACTCTTCTTAGAAATCACTTACTCACCCAAAACTAAACAGCTTCCAAGCTGCTTTCAATTTCACCTCCATTACCACATACTGTGCTAAGGATCACAGTGTCACTCACCTAAATCTCAAAACTTCAAAAATAGATGCTCAAAGTTCATTACATTACTTAATATTACATTGTAGAAAATCAATACCTGCTCTCGTTGCACTGCAAATCATTATTGTAATTACACACTGTAAACTATCTATGTAAATACAACTCCCTACAACATGTCAATCTCATTGTAAACTTGCAAAGAAATAAAAATTTGAATTTGAATTTGAATCCCTGAGGAGACATAGTGTAAAGCCTGCAATTCCCAGTGCTTTCAGTTTTGCCAAGTCCCTGGTGGCATACTTGGTCAAAAACACCAGCAATGTCTAGTACTACTACACAGCTGACTTTGGATTCATCCAGTGACTGGTGTCACTTAGTGGAGAGGTTTAGCAGCAGATCAGCAGCAGAGTAACCTTTTCTGAAGCCATACTGACGATCACAAAGAAGTGAGTGCTAGTCGAAAAATATTGTCATTTGCATGAGATTATTGTCTCAAGGATCTTGCCAATGATTGACAGGAGTAACATTGGTCTGTACTTGCTGATTTCTACTCTGCTCTTCTTTTCGTGAACAGGGACTACATTTGCCTCTTTCCACACAGAAGGCCATTTACACTGTGCAAGGCACTGCTGAAAGGTGTGACTTAGAAGTATGGCTAGCTGGTCTGCACTTCTACTCAGCAATCTTGGACTCAACTTGTTTGGGTCCACAGCCTTTTCCTGGTCCAGCAGTTTAAGAAGAAAATGCACCTCCTCCTGCCTTACTGTCACTACTGATGGCTTTGACAGTTCTTTGCAGCTAGCCAAGGAGGGTCCCATACCAGATCAGGAACCTGCATCTTGGCAGCAAAGTGTTTGGCAAAGAAGTCAGCTCTCTCCTGACTACTAGTAGTGGCCGTCCCATCCTGTTGATTTAGAGGTGGAATACGCTCATCAGGCAAATAACCTTGTCTGTCCTTGACCAAGGACCACCAGGTTTTGGAGTCCACTCTACTTGATGCCAGTTTTCTTTTTGTGTCTGCCTCCCATTTAGAAATAGCTTACTTTCAAACTTCACCCAAATGCCTACAGGCCTAGCTGTGCAGGTTCCTGTTATAGGTAGTGGGATGTCTCTTGTACCTTCACCAAGCCTCATACTTAGAAGTAGCAGCCTCTCTATAACGAAAGCCAAACCAAGGGTGATCTGTAGGCCTCATCACATATTGGCAGTGAGGGATGTGTTCTTGTTGAAGATTAAGGATGTGTCCAGTGAAGACACTTGCTTGGTTGTCAACGTCACCATATAGAAGAGCATTCCAATCAGAGGCTGTGAGCTCAGAGCAAAGTGCTGGCCAGTTTCCCCTGTCCCACAGCCAGGTTGTGAGTGAGGATTCCTCACCTCGTTCTGTTGGGATCTTCAGTGTCGTAAAAACAGCTTTGTGGTCAGATGATCCAACATAGCTGAGGAGTTGACAAGTAACTATACCTTCTGCCAGATCAATCACTACTGGGTTGAGGGAGGAGCCAGAGATGTGAGTAGGGAAATCAGCAAAGTTTCTCATGTCAAACACTGCAAGAGGGTCATCAAAGTCCCTCTGTATAAGATGTCATCTGTATAAGATGCCATCTGAATTGTGATGTCAGCATGCTTCTGGCAAGACAGTAACTAAATGAATTATGGTGAGGGCATTTCATCTTTTTTGGGTCATTTTAGCTCAGTGGGAGACAGTGTGTCATAAAAAATAAACATTGCTCAAGACAAAATACATGCCAATTCCAAATCATTTTTTATAAGAGCATCTAAAATACTGGACCACAAGAAACCTCTTAAAAACATAAATTAAAAACAGTTCTGAAAACTGCCAATTAAGGGGTTGTAAAGATGAAAATTTATAACATGTATAAGTGAACTATCATTGAGATAAATATATAAAAATACTGTAATGAAAAGACATGTTGACACAGTGCTGGAGTGTGAGCAATGTAACATTTACAAAAGGATTCAGTGAAATCAGTTAACTGAACTAGTCCTCCCAGCCAGCTGAAGGAGAGGTGGGGATGCTGCAGTTCAGATGGTCATTTGAACTACATTGTCCACAAAAAAACAACCATTGAAGGAATGATGGTGAATATGTTTGCTTCTTCTGGTCATACAATCATGGTGGGAAACAGATGATATGGTTAAAAAATTAAGAAAATTAGCACTAATTTTCTGGGGCAGAAATTTTAACTGAGACTATGTAGCACATCATGTGGTAACCAGCCTCATTTTTCACCGCTGGTTGCTTTTCTTAAACCAATAAAAATGTTTCATAAATCGCAGAATGAGGGGGCGCTTAAACAGGCCAGTGCATTTTAGGATTCACCATGGGTTCAACCCCCCCCCCCACCAGTTCCTTGACTTGTATGCAATCATGTTATTTTGATTTTGTGAGTCAATATGTTTACTGAAAATAAAATAACAAATAAAATAACAAGTGTGTTCACATTTGGCAGTGGGTAGTCTCTGTGAATATACACAGAGTTCCTATGAGCACACACATCACTTGTGATTCTTACAATTTTCCCAAGTCTGATTTGTGATGTTCTGAAATGTGATGTCAGTACACTTTTGAAAAAAACAGCAGTTAAATGAATGTTTTCCACTCTAGGTCATACTACCTTGGCAGGACATGACCATTGATGTTAGGTTAGGTTAGGTTAGTATCCAGGCAATATGTAGCAAATGTGCTGGAGTTCTGTTGTCTCAGTGTCACAATATCTGGCAAAAACAAATGACTCCCTTGTGAAATAAAAAGTTGCTTCATAAAAAGGCCACTATGGGCTACACTGATTTATTAAAACAGGAAACTGCATTTCTTGTTTATACAATCTATGTTTTATGTTAATGAGGTAAATCAATATGTCATGTCTACAAAGGATAACTATTTACATACAGAGTTTGGACTGACAACTGATATGACCAGGGATCAATTCTGGATTGGCCAAGATGTATGGGCAAGTCTCCTTAAAACTGCTGCTCTCATTCACTTAGGATAAGTAAGTATATGAATTCACAAATAACCACAATTAGGAGAGAAAACTTCTGATGACATTTCAGTCCATCGTGAAGCACTGTCAGGTTGAAACTTGACGTGACCTAACAGTGGTCCAGGATGAACCAAAGCATTGTTCTAAGTTTTATCTCTTGACTGCAAGTTATCTGTGAATTGTTCCAGCAAAGACCCTGTGACTTATTTTTCTTTAAATATCTGGATGCAGGTCAACCATTTTGAATTGTACAATCCTAAAGAAAATTCCACCAACTACTGTACTACAGTGTACCTTCTATAATTCTATCCATTTCTAAATCAGTGAGAGTCTGAGCCACATACCCTAACACAGCTGGTGATACAACTCCACAACTTCTTGAGGCAGGTCTTTACAACAAGCACCATTAATCTGTGGAAAAAGAAATTAAGATATAGTATGGTATATCTTTGATGAGTTCTATGAGTTTTTCTACTCCCAGAACCCAGCCACGGGCCATTGAGGTACCACAGGCCATTGAGATACCAGAAGCAACAGCCTTATCAACCAGGCTGTTGCTGCTGGTACCTCAATGTGTACAACATTAATAGGAATGAGAGGTTGTAAATTTGATAAAAAGACACTATAGAAAAAATGGAAAATGCTACTTAGAAGTTTTACCTGGAAACCAGAGTGATTTTACATCATTAACCCTTTGACTGTCTCAAGCCCCTTTCTGAAACTGCCATTCTATGTCACAAAATTTTTGGAAAAAAAAAAAAAAATTCTTATGAAATAACAGAGAATCTTTTCCCGATGGTAATGACACCAAAAGTACGAAATTTGGTCGAAAACTCACGGAATTACGCTCCCGCAAAGTTAGCAGTCTTGGCGACATAAATGGATCAGCGATATTGCCGACTTTGGGCCCTATTTTTGACCAATTCCATTGTTTCAGTTGACCAAACTCATAGCTATTTTTTTAGAACTCCATTTTTTCTATCAATTGAGTACAAGAAACCACCCATTTACCGATTTGAACTACCCAATAAAGTGGTCAGAAATTGGCAATTTGGCCAATTTCACGCAAATTAAAAAAGATGCCAATTTCAAAATAGGGTCCAGAATAAACAATGTAGACATTCTTGGCACTAAAATAACATATCCTCTGTTTATTAGTCATGTCTCTAGGCCCCTCTTATATTACTATTGCTTTCTATTTTGATTTTTTATTCATACAAAACATACAAAATTTACTGTTATGCAGACTACTGCATTATTATAAAAATGGTATAAATGATATCAGTGCACTAGAGAAAGAATATCAGACTCCCCAGTTGACATGTATTGGACGTGTGGTGCGATTTGCTTACACTCGAACATTTCCACTACTTTGAGCTCAATTTCAAGGTCATTTTAATCGTGAAACTAATCAAAATCATCTTTATTTCTGCAACATGTTTTCCATTTTATCATGTGAGACCATGAAAACGAGAATACAATGATAAATACTATACGAAAATACACCTCAAAGTCGGCGTTTCAATCCAAAAAAACGATCAGTTTTTTTTCTCATTATGCACTGCCTGCTGCAGGATTTTTTTCATGTGGTGCACACTAACCACACAGACCTATTCTCTCACATGTGGGTCTACCAGCTTTCTCCTGCTTGATTTGAAGCCGCTAGAATTATTGAGTATACAGTGGACCCCCGGTTAACGATATTTTTTCACTCCAGAAGTATGTTCAGGTGCCAGTACTGACCGAATTTGTTCCCATAAGAAATATTGTGAAGTAGATTAGTCCATTTCAGACCCCCAAACATACACGTACAAACGCACTTACATAAATACACTTACATAATTGGTCACATTCGGAGGTAATCGTTATGCGGGGGTCCACTGTATATACATCCGAAACACTGGCTCCTAAAACGTATATATACGACCAAAACAGTCAAAGGGTTAATGTTTATTAAAAAGACAAAATCTTCAGTATACCATGAAGTCTTGCCTACTGAAACAAGAGCGGACATGCATAAACTCTAAATCTCATTCCTTAACCCTTTCAGGGTCCCCAGGCCCTCTCCCTGACTTGTTCTCAGGGTCCCCAAATTTAAAAAAAAAAAATTTTTTTTTCTTATGAAAAGATAGAGAATCTTTTCCCGATCATAATGACACCAAAAGTATGAAATTTGATGGAAAACTTACAGAATTATGCTCTCGCGAAGTTAGCGGTCTCGACGATGTTTACGCATCCGCGATTTTGCCCACTTTGAGCCCTATTTTCGGCCAATTCCAGTATACTAGTCGACAAAAATCGTAACTATTTCGCTAGAACTCCATCTTTTATATCGAATGAGTACAAGAAACCACCCATTTACTGATTTCAACTATCCAATAAAGTGGTCAGAATTTAGCAATTTTGCCAATTTCACACAAATTTCAAAAGATGCCAATTTCCGAATAGGGTCCAGAATAAACAAGAAAGACATTCCTGGCACTAAAATAACAAGTTCTCTGTTCGTTAGTCGCATCCCCAGGCCCCTCTTATATTTCTTTGGCCTTCCACTTTGAATTTTTATTCTTACAAAAAATAGATTTACTGTTATGCAGACTACTGCATTAGTGTAGAAATGGTATAAATAATATCAGCACACTTGTGAAAGAATATTAGACTCACCAGTTGATGTGTATTGGATGCCTGGCATGATTTGTTTACTTTTGAACTTTGGTAAAAATCGAACATTTCTGCTACTTTGAGCACAATTTCAAGGTACTTTTCATTGTAAAACCAGTCAAAGTCATCTCAATTTCTGTAATATGTCTTCCATTCTATAAAATGAGACCAGGAAAACTAGAATACAACAATAAATACCATACGAAAATACAGTGCAAAGTCGCTGTTTTAATCGAAAAACACGGTCAAAGTTTTTTTTTCTCATTACGCACTGTGTGCTGCAGGATTTTTTTTATACTGCGCACACTGACCACATAGACCCATTCTTTCATATGTAGGCCTACCAGCTTTCTCTCACTAGATTTGAGGGAGCTAGAATTTAGGCGTACTAGTACGTCAAAAACCCTGGGGCGTAACCCGTACTAGTACGGCTGAAACCCTGAAAGGGTTAAAGCCCCTCAAAATATTTATATGCTGAATATTTTACATATATAGTAACTGAAAAGATACACTAATACTTAAAAACACTTATGCTAAAAATTCATTATGCAATTTGCAAAAATATACTCATTACTGCAAACAAACATTTAACAAGCTTCTATTCTGTTCATATGATAAACCTCAAGTACTTCCCTACATAGTCTCTATCTACCAACCTACTACCCTGGCACCAGTTTTTTCTCTAATTTTATTTTTTGACACTTTCTCTTTCTGCTTTTACAACCTCTGAATTTCACTTTGGATCCAAAGTGTAAACCTGAAACACTGTACTCTCTTTAACTTAAAATGTTTAAGCTTAACCAATTTTGTCACCACAAATAAAGTAACAGGTATATCTCGCTAGTTCTACATACACTTTAGGTCACACTACACATGCATGTACATGCATATATCTTTACACACCCATCTGCATTTTCTTCTATTTTCTGAACAGTTCTTCAGGACTTTTCATTTCACATAGAACATTAGGATTTTATTCAACTGTCCCCCTTCAAATGCAGTTTAAAGAATAAGTTTGATCTCTTGTTTGAAGAAATTGGAGGGTGCCTGCAACTCCTTGAATCAAGAGCTTGTGACCAGTATTAAAGCACCCTCTGAATAAGCCACACAAAGACTCACCTTAACTGATGATAAATTTGGTGATGGTGGGATAATCCTTATAGGTGATTGTTGATGAGCTAATGCCAGCCATACATGATGTGGGTGAGTGTGTGCCACCTGCTTCACCAAATGAATCCCAGCATTACATAGATCAACTGGTTGACGAGTCTTCAAGTATATCATCAGTACATTTACTAACTCTGACATTTGAACAACATCCAACGTTAATGATGTAACAAGACTTGGCAGTGTTTGTAATAATGTCATTTGGGCTCGATAAGCAGGAGTCATGTAATAGCCACTTCTTCTGCTCTTCCCTAAGCTCGTGTGACCTTGATTTCTGAGAAACAATAGGAGAGGTGGGAACACTTCTTTCAAAGTGCGCTGTCGGAGGAAGTCCCCGCTGGTGACAACCATTGCTGCTAATACCTCGAGAGCAAGTACCATTACTACAAAATCATAGTCTTTTAACCTGAGCACTAATGGTTTCCATAACTTGTGGATGACTGGCAATCTTTGGTCTTCCCAGGAAGCTAAAGCTGAACAGCCAGCCTTAATTACTTTCAATACAACAAGCTTCAGTTTTCTGTCCTGGGTATATAACAAGTGAGAACATCTTTCCAAAATAACAACAACAAGCTCAATATATTTTGGCACCACTTTCTTTTTGTCTTCCTCAAGAACGTTCTCTGCTACTCCATCTTCATAATCCTGTTGACTTTCAGGTCTGTTACCATTTTCTCTATCACTGTCCACTGCATGTTCTGTTACATCTGCAATATCACTGTCTTCAATACCTTCTTTAACAGTCATTTGATCTTTGTGATACTGCTCTAAAAATCGAGCAATAGGTCCACGATTATCATGTGAGACAGAGTGTTGAAAAGTACCTTCCTGTTTCACTTCAGATTCTCCTTTACCAAAACTGTTATTTATACCACAACTAATATTGCTAGAATTAAAATCATTACAAATAGCCTGAGTTTTAGATTCATATTTAACAACCGCAGTAACATAGACGTGCAAAACTCTCACAAGAGGTAAAGCTTGCTCATTATGATACGTGTCAAGGCAGGTGAGCACATCTTCCACTAATTCTTCTATGAAAGCAATGACATCAATGTTAGCATATTCCAGAGAGACCTGAAGAACAAGTGGTGCTGTGGGATGCTGCCGCAACTTTTTAAGCTTCATGGAGAGTGCGTACCAAAACTGAGGGACACTTTTTTCAATTAATTCAGCAACATTTTTGTACCCACATGACTGTGCAATTTCTTGGAGAGTGTTGATAGCAGTGTGGCCAACCAATACATTAGGTTCACCAGCTTTCTCCATTACAGAGCACAGAACTTGGCTTAGAAACACATCAAAATTCCTGCCCATCATACGAGCACACGCACTTATTAAATTCAGAGTAATGGCAACAAGTACTACATTACTCTTAACTAAATCAATGGAAAGATTCTTCTGTTGGTTCACTGGAATTAAAGAGGCACCCAGGTCTTCCACATTGTTGCCGTCCACATTGTACCGCTCACTGACGCAGAGCGGTGCGTTGAAAATTTCCTGACACATGATGAGCTCTAACACATTCTTCACTACCTGCTCACTCTCTTCTTGTGGGATGCTCTGCTGCTCCTTCTCTCTCAACTTCCGTTCATCTCTTCCTACAAGATGATAAATTGTTACCGTTACAATTATGTAATATCTTGATAGGTAAATTTCTAGTTTAAGTCTGCCCAAAACACTGTACATATTCATGGCTTTTTTTAATTTGTACATTAAGTGCAAACCCACTCACTATAATCTCATTGTAATATATATGTTCGTTTTTAAAAGGAAAATTATTATTATTATTATTATTATTATTATTATTACAGCCTCTCCTCACTTAACCCTTTGAGGGTCGACAGGCCCTCTCCGAAACTCGTTCTCAGGGTCGGCCAAATTTAAAAAAAAAAAAAATTATTTTCTCTTATGAAAAGATAGAGAATCTTTTCCCGATCATAAAGACACCAAAAGTTTGAAATTTGATAGAAAACTTACGGAATTATGCTCTCGCAAAGTTAGCGGTCTCGGCGATGTTTACGCATCGGCGATTTTGCCCACTTTGAGCCCCATTTTCGGCCAATTTCACTGTACTAGTCGACAAAAAACATGAATATTTCGCTAGAACTCCATTTTTTCTATCGAATGGGTGCACGAAACCACTCATTTATGAAATTCAACTATCCAGTACAGTGGTCAGAATTTAGCAATTTTGCCAATTTCACACAAATTTCAAAAGATGCCAATTTCCGAATAGGGTCCAGAATAAACAAGAAAGACATTCCTGGCACTAAAATGACATTTCCTCTGGTCATTAGTCACGTCTCAAGGCCCCTCTTATATTCTTTTGCTTTCCACTTTGAATTTTTATTCTCACAAAAAATAGAAGATTTACTGTTATGCAGACTATTGCATTAGTGTAAGAAATGGTATAAATATTATTGGTGCATTTGTGAAAGAATATTAGACTCACCAGTTGACGTGTATTGCACGCTTGGCACGATTTGTTTACTTTTGAAGTTTGGTAAAAATCGAACATTTCTGCTACTTTGAGCTCAATTTCAAGGCACTTTTCTTTGTAAAACCAGTCAAAATCATCTCAATTTCTGTAATATGTCTTCCATTTTATAAAATGAGACCAAGAAAACTAGAATACAACAATAAATACCATACGAAAATACACTGCAAAGTCGCTGATTTATTCAAAAAAAATGGTAAAAGTTTTTTTTTCTCATTATGCACTGTGTGCTGCAGGATTTTTTTTAGACTGTGCACACTGACCACATAGACCCATTCTTTCATATGAAGGCGTACCAGCTTTCTCCCAATAGATTTGAGGCCGCTAGAATTTATGAGTACTAGTACGTCAAAAACCCCTACGCGTAAGACGTACTAGTACGACGAAAACCCTCAAAGGGTTAATGAGAGTTCTGTCCCTAAACACCACACTGGTAAACAAATTCATCACTAAGTGAGGAGCTTACTATAATGGTAGTGGGTTTATGTCAACTATCCTTGATATTGTTTTTATGTCACCTCAGCACCATTTATAACATTTCTGGTATATTTTTAAATGGTTATACAGTAGTGTACTGTATACTGTAATAAACAGAATAGAGAAAATCAACTCTAATATACGTTATTTAGGTACATATACTGGTCAGAAAGTCCGTCACATGTCCAAATCGTCAGTAAACAAGTACTACATCGCTAAGTGAGGAGAGGCTGTATTAATTTAAAAACAACAGCAATTACAAAAATAACAAAATATTTTCAATTTAACAATAGCTTGTATAATTTAGAGATGTAGAAATACACCATAAAATCACAATTATTAATTTTTTTTATTAACACACTGGCCGATTCCCACCAAGGCAGGGTGGCCCAAAAAAGAAAAACTTTCACCATCATTCACTCCATCACTGACTTGCCAGAAGGGTGCTTTACACTACAGTTTTTAAACTGCAACATTAACACCCCTCCTTCAGAGTGCAGGCACTGTACTTCCCATCTCCAGGACTCAAGTCCGGCCTGTCGGTTTCCCTGAATCCCTTCATAAATGTTACTTTGCTCACACTCCAACAGCACGTCAAGTATTAAAAACCATTTGTCTCCATTCACTCCTATCAAACACGCTCATGCATGCCCGCTGGAAGTCCAAGCCCCTCGCACACAAAACCTCCTTTACCCCCTCCCTCCAACCTTTCCTAGGCCGACCCCTACCACGCCTTCCTTCCACTACAGACTGATACACTCTTGAAGTCATTCTGTTTTGTTCCATTCTCTCTACATGTCCAAACCACCTCAACAACCCTTCCTCAGCCCTCTGGACAACAGTTTTGGTAATCCCGCACCTCCTCCTAACTTCCAAACTACGAATTATATTCACACCACACATTGCCCTCAGACATGACATCTCCACTGCCTCCAGCCTTCTCCTCACTGCAACATTCATCACCCATGCTTCACACCCATATAAGGGCGTTGGTAAAACTATACTCTCATACATTCCCCTCTTTGCCTCCAAGGACAAAGTTCTTTGTCTCCACAGACTCCAAAGTGCACCGCTCACCCTTTTCCCCTCATCAATTCTATGATTCACCTCATCTTTCATAGACCCATCCGCTGACACGTCCACTCCCAAATATCTGAATACATTCACCTCCTCCATACTCTCTCCCTCCAATCTGATATCCAATCTTTCATCACCTAATCTTTTTGTTATCCTCATAACCTTACTCTTTCCTGTATTCACTTTCAATTTTCTTCTTTTGCATACCCTACCAAATTCATCCACCAACCTCTGCAACTTCTCTTCAGAATCTCCCAAGAGCACAGTGTCATCAGCAAAGAGCAACTGTGACAACTCCCACTTCATGTGTGATTCTTTATCTTTTAACTCCATGCCTCTTGCCAAGACCCTCGCATTTACTTCTCTTACAACCCCATCTATAAATATATTAAACAACCATGGTGACATCACACATCCCTGTCTGAGGCATACTTTTACTGGGAAATAATCTCCCTCTTTCCTACATACTCTAACTTGAGCCTCACTATCCTCGTAAAAACTCTTCACTGCTTTCAGTAACCTACCTCCTACACCATACACCTGCAACATCTGCCACATTTCCCCCCCATCCACCCTGTCATATGCCTTTTCCAAATCCATAAATGCCACAAAAACCTTTTTAGCCTTATCTAAATACTGTTCACTTATGTTTCACTGTAAACACCTGGTCCACACACCCCCTACTTTTCCTAAAGCCTCCTTGTTCATCTGCTATCCTATTCTCCGTCTTACTCTTAATTCTTTCAATAATAACTCTACCATACACTTTACCAGGTACAGTGGAACCTCAAAAATCGAACGTATCACATATCGAACATTTCGAAAATAAGACCATTTTTTCAGACAAACTGTGTCCCTATTATCGAACACGCCCCTATTTTCGGACCGCCGGGTACGGGACCTGTCCACTGGCCCGCTCTGTCCGCGTCCCCACGCAGGCGCCGTGAGCAGTCTAGCTTTGTTTATGCTTGAGTGAACACTAACCTGCGATCTCACTCACACATTTTACAATTATTTAATTGTGTTTAGTGCTTGTGGGGCTGTGAAATAAGCTGCCATGGGCCCAAAGAAACTTGCTAGCAGTACCCCTGTGGTAAAGAAAGTGAGAAACACCATAGATGTGAAGAAGGAAATAATACAGAAGTATGAGATTGGAGTGAGACTTGTTGAGCTTGCCAGGATGTACAGAGGACTGTGGACAGTTATTTTGTGAGACAGAAACAGACGACTGTGGGCAGTTATTTTGTGAGACAGAAACAGACGACTGTGGAGTTATTTGTGAGACAAACAGACGATTGTGGACAGTTATTTTGTGAGACAGAAACAGACAACTGTGGACAGTTATTTTGTGAGACAAAAACAGACGACTGTGGAGTTATTTTGTGAGACAGAAACAGACAACTGTGGAGTTATTTTGTGAGACAGAAACAGACGACTGTGGAGTTATTTTGTGAGACAAACAGACGATTGTGAACAGTTATTTTGTGAGACAGAAACAGACGACTGTGGAGTTATTTTGTGAGACAGAAACAGAGGACTGTAGACAGTTATTTTGTGAGACTGGGGTCCAATGACTCTCAAGCTGGTCCTAGTGGCATTAAAATACAGAGAAGGGAAGCAACCCCAGAGAGGGCTTTGATACCGGAAGTCCTCATGGAGGGGGATTCTCCTTCCAAACAATAACCCCAACTCCCTCTCTCCTCCTCCCTATCTTCCAGATGCCATCGCCAATCTTCAATAAAGGTAAAAAAATGTTATTTTATATTACTATACATAATTAAAGACTATAGCATTTGTTGTGTGTATGTAAAACTGTAATTAATCTCTATAAAATGTATTTTTTTTGTGTGAATATTTTTGGGTTTCTGGAACGGATTAATTGTATTTCCATTATTTCTTATGGGAAACATTGCTTCGAATTTCAGACTATTCGAATTTAGAACTAGCTCCTGGAGCGGATTAAGTTCGAAATTTGAGGTTCCACTGTATACTCAACAGACTTATCCCCCTATAATTTTTGCACTCTCTTTTGTCCCCTTTGCCTTGATACAAAGGAACTATGCATACTCTCTGCCAATCCCTAGGTACCTTACCCTCTTCCATTATTTTTCTTTTTTTTTATTATTAACACACTGGCCGATTCCCACCAAGGCAGGGTGGCCTGAAAAAGAAACTTTCACCATCATTCACTCCATCACTGTCTTGCCAGAAGGGTGCTTTACACTACAGTTTTTAAACTGCAACATTAACACCCCTCCATACATTTATTAAATAATTGCACCAACCACTCCAAAACTATATCCCCACCTGCTTTTAACATTTCTATCTTTATCCCATCAATCCCAGCTGCCTTACCCCCTTTCATTTTACCTACTGCCTCACAAACTTCCCCCACACTCACAACTGGCTCTTCCTCACTCCTACAAGATATTATTCTTCCTTGCCCTATACACAAAATCACAATTACATGGCATTAGAAAAATCATTGTGTAAAATTTTAATGCCTGAAAGTATTTAAAGTAAAAATTACAATACAGTTATTATTCTAAATTCTCTGACTTCAAGTTTTCAACATTTATAACTGAGGGACATCCCAAAATTAATTCTGAAAATTCTCTTTTTTATTGGCTATGATCTTTTAATTCCAGCTTGATGGCTCATGGCTAAGGTAACTCAAAGCTCAGTTGTAGTATCCTCAGCTCATAACCAAAGGGCCAGGGTTCAATCTCAGTGTGGGTGGAGAAGCTGGTGTATGTTTTACTACACCTGTTTCCACTGTTCACCTAGCACTGTACAGGTAACTAGTTGTTAGTCAGTGGTTGTGGTTGTATATGGGGAAAGAGGACTGGTTAGTGGTTGTGGCTGCATATAGGGAAATAATACTGGTTGTTAGTGGTTGTGGCTGCATACAGGGCAAGGATACTGGTTGTAAAGTAAAAGGACACAAGTGCAACTAATGTGACATTTTTATTGTGGCAACGTTTCGCTCTCCAGGAGCTTTGTCAAGCCGTTATAGCTTAACACTTACCTTTACTGAAGACTTATTGATGAGTGATGAGATGGGAGGAGGGGAGAGGATGGAGGTGTACTATTGTTTGGAAGGGCAATCCCCCTCCATAAGGACTTCAGGTACCAAGTCGTTTTCTGGGGTTACTTCCCTTCTTTGTTTTTTAATGCCACTAGAACCAGCATAAGGGTCACTGGACCCCTGTCACTCAAAAAAAGTGTTCCAGAGAGGTCTGTATCTGGCATTTCTTTAAAACTTCCCTAAAATGGGACACAACACTATCACTGTACATGTTGCCAACACGACCTGCAACAGCTTTGTCAGGGTGAAGTTCATCCATAAATGTTTGCACCTTTGTCCATATTGCACAAATCTCCTTAATCTTTGAAGAAGGCACCTTCCTCCATCTCTCTTCCTCCTCCTCTGAAGCAATTTCCTGAGCTGTGATCTGTTGATGTTGCAGATGAAGCTCTTGCAGCTCTGTAGTGGTTAGCTCTTCATTATGGTCCTCCACCAACTCTTCCACATCCTCAAAACTCACATCCAACCCCATGGAATTCCCCAATGCCACAATACTTTCCACAACTGACATAGGTTCCTCAGGGTCAGCCCCAAACCCTTCAAAATCTCTCTCGTACACATTGTGGCCACAATTTTCTCCAAGCAGATTTCAAAGTCCTGGAAGTCACTCCCTCCCAAGCTTTACCTATAAGGTTTATGCAATAGACAATATTGAAGTGATCTTTCCAGAACTCTCTTAAGGTCAATTCAGTGTCTGAGGTCACTTCAAAGAACTTTTGAAACACTGCTTTGGTGTACAGTTTTTTGAAGTTTGAAATGACCTTCTGGTCCATGGGCTGGAGGAGAGGAGTGGTATTAGGGGGCAAGAACTTCACTTTGATGAAACGAAACTCCTGCACCATTTGCTCTTCCAAGTCAGGAAGATGAGCGGGAGTCCATTACCAGGAGGCACTTGAGTTCCAATTTATTTTCCAGGAAGTATTTCTTCACACTGGGGCCAAACACTTCATTGAACCAATCAAGGAAAATGTCCCACGTGACCCATACCTTACTGTTTGCTCTCCACATCACACACAATTTACTCTTGGCAACACTTTTTTTGAACACACTGGGATTTTCAGAGTGATACACCAGTAAAGGCTTCACTTTGCAATCAACACTAGCATTACAACAAAACATGAGATTTAGCCTGTCTTTCATAGCCTTGTGTCCTGTGAGTGCCTTTTCCTCCTGAGTAATGTAGGTCCTGTTTGGAATTTTCTTCCAAAACAGTCCTGTTTTGTCACAATTGAACACTAGTTGGGGTTTGAATTGTTCAGCCTCTATGTACCCTATAAATTCCTGAATATATTTTTCAGTCACATTTTTGTCAGAACTGGCAGCCTCACCATGCCTTATCACACTGTGTATGCCACTACGCTTCTTAAATCTCTCAAACCAGCCTTTACTGGCCTTAAATTCACTAATATCAGCACTAGTTCCAGGCATTTTCTTTACGAGATCATCATGCAACTGCATATTGACTGCATAACACTATCTCCTGATAATTGTTTCTCGTTGATCCACACCAACAACAAAGTCTCCACATCTTCCAATATTTGCAATCTCTGTTTTGTAAGCATATTTGTGCCTTTCACAACAACAGCTTCCTTGATTTCCTTTCTCTTGGCCATGATAGAAGCGATGGACCTGATGAGCTGTTGGAGTGCGAGCATGGTAATATTTAGTGAAGGGATTCAGGGAAACCGGTTATTTTTATTCTGCTGGACTTGAGTCCTGGAAATGGGAAGTACAATGCCTGCACTTTAAAGGAGGGGTTTGGGATACTGGCAGTTTGGAGGGATATGTTATGTATCTTTATACGTATATGCTTCTAAACTGTTGTATTCTGGGCACCTCTGCAAAAACAGTGATTATGTGTGAGTGATGTGAAAGTGTTGAATGATGAAAGTATTTTCTTTTTGGGGATTTTCTTTCTTTTTGGGTCACCCTGCCTCAGTGGGAGACGGCCGACTTGTTAAAAAAAAAAAGTTATATTACATGTAGGGTGTGCCAAAACATCAGTATTGGTATCAGTATAGGTGGGTATCGGATAATTTTGATGTTATTGGTATTGGCCTGAAATTGAGTATCAGTATTGGCAAAAATTTTGGTATTATCCTGTAACTAACTACATGGATATTAATACATAGCAACCATCTATAACACTCTACTTGTGAATAAGTAACACTGCAACCATCTGCAACACTGTATTTATGAGTAACACTACAACCATCTATAACACTCTACTTGTGAATAAGTAACATTGCAACCATCTGTAACACTCTACTTATGAATAAGTAACACTGCAACCATCTGTAACACTGTATTTATGAGTAACACTGCAACCATCTGCAACACTGTATTTATGAGTAACACTGCAACCATCTGTAAAACACTACTTATGAATAAGTAACACTGCAACCATCTGTAACATTCTACTTATGAATAAGTAACACTGCAACCATCTGTAACATTCTACTTATGAATAAGAAACACTGCAACCATCTGTAACACTCTACTTATGAATAAGTAACACTGCAACCATCTGTACCACTCTACTTATGAATAAGTAGCACTGCAACCATCTGTACCACTCTACTTATGAATAAGTAACACTGCAACCATCTGTAACACTCTACCTATGGATAAGTAACACTGCAACCATCTGTAACACTCTACCTATGAATAAGTAACACTGCAACCATCTGTACCACAACTTGTGAGTTGCCTTGCCAGTGTTTCAGCTTATAAATGAGTAACACTGTTAGTAACAGAAGTTAATGTGGGTCATAATGAACTAATTCATAATAAGGAAACCTGAAGCACAGTATATACCTACTCACATACTTTTTTTACCTCAATAGCCATCTTCCACCAAGGAAGGTGATCCAACAAAAAGGAAATATATTCACCATCACTTATTCAACCACTTTCTTGCCAGAAGTGCACAGACATCATAATTCAGATTACTCTCAGACTATAACATCTCCACCCCTCCTTCAGAGTACAGGTACTGTACTTCCCACCTCCATGACTCAAATCTGGCTAACCAGTTTCCCTGAATCCCTTCATCATTACCTTGATCACACTCCAACAGCACATCCATGACTCACGAAATTGTAATAACACGATTGCAAACAGACCAAAGAGTTTTAGGACTCACTAGCAATGGGTTCAAACCCCACCTGTTCTGTGTTTTTTTTAATTATCACATCCATTAAAAACCACTTATCTCCATTCAGTGCTATCAACCACTCTATGAATATTTTTTAAGTTACACTGAACCCACCTTGTAAAATGAGGGTCAGCATAAGAAGTGATTCCTTTTGATGATAAGTTGACTGTTGTAGGCAGTCTAAACACAGATCCACCACTAGTGTTAAGTTACTGTGGTAGCCTATGAGGTGACAAGCAGTGCCAAGAGCTTCGCTGATTCTCACATCTTGGAAATGCTTGAAGCACTTCCCTAATGAAGGCTTTATGCTTAACAGTTCAAACGGATCTGAAAGGTATCAATAAAGAACATTCGATTTTATAATTAAATTACTTATGTTGGGATATTCTGAAGATAAATTGTAAATATCGGTGGATTAAAGAATAAAAAGTCACAATACCGTGACTGGAACAATACATAAATAACCCACACATAGGAGAAAGAAGCCTATGATCACGTTTTGGCCTAACTTGCAAGCAATAACACACCCCTTCCTCTCCTCCCCCACCTGCTTCCACTATGCCATTACCTCTCCTCTGACAGGTAAGGGCACATTTAATTTTCATTTACTGTACAATATTTCAGTTAAATTTTCATTCAGTATTCATTTCTACAGTTTCCCTGTGATGTATAATTTTATACATACTTTTATGTAGTAGTACTACATTATTAATATTTGTTATCTGCAACACATCAATTCTATTTACATTATGGGAAAACTTGCTTTTCTTATCATCAATTTTGGTTGTCATCTAGTTTGGTTGTCGTCGATTTTGGCTGTCGAATCGACATCTGGAACGAATTAAATATGAAAACCGAGGTTCCACTGTAATGAAAAATACATTATTATTACGTAGAATGAAAGGGGGTAAAGCAGCTGGAACTGATGGGATCATGACAGAAATGTTAAAAGCAGGGGGGGATATAGTGTTGGAGTGGTTGGTACTTTTATTTAATAAAAGTATGAAAGAGGGGAAGGTACCTAGGGATTGGCAGAGAGCATGTATAGTCCCTTTATATAAAGGGAAAGGGGTCAAAAGAGATTGTAAAAATTATAGAGGAATAAGTTTACTGAGTATACCAGGAAAAGTATACAGTAGGGTTATAATTGAAAGAATTAGAGGTAAGACAGAATGTAGGTTTGGGCGGATGAGCAGGGAGGCTTCAGAGTGGGTAGGGGATGTGTAGATCAAGTGTTTACATTGAAGCATATATGTGAAACAGTATTTAGATAAAGGTAGGGAAGTTTTTATTGCATTTATGGATTTAGAAAAGGCATATGATAGAGTGGATAGAGGAGCAATGTGGCAGATTTTTGCAAGTGTATGGAATAGGTGGTAAGTTACTAAATGCTGTAAAGAGCTTTTATGAGGATAGTGAGGCTCAGGTTAGGGTGTGTAGAAGAGAGGGAGAATACTTTCCGGTAAAAGTAGGTCTTAGACAGGGATGTGTAATGTCACCATGGTTGTTTAATATATTTATAGATGGGGTTGTAAAAGAAGTAAATGCTAGGGTGTTCGGGAGAGGGGTGGGATTAAATTATGGGGAATCAAATTCAAAATGGGAATTGACACAGTTACTTTTTGCTGATGATACTGTGCTTATGGGAGATTCTAAAGAAAAATTGCAAAGGCTAGTGGATGAGTTTGAGAATATGTGTAAAGGTAGAAAGTTGAAAGTGAACATAGAAAAGAATAAGGTGATGAGGGTATCAAATGATTTAGATAAAGAAAAATTGGATATCAAATTGGGGAGGAGGAGTATGGAAGAAGTGAATGTTTTCAGATACTTGGGAGTTGACGTGTCGGTGAATGGATTTATGAAGGATGAGGTTAATCATAGAATTGATGAGGAAAAAAGGTGAGTGGGGGCGTTGAGTATATGTGGAGTCAAAAAATGTTATCTATGGAGGCAAAGAAGGGAATGTATGAAAGTATAGTAGTACCAACACTCTTATATGGATGTGAAGCTTGGGTGGTAAATGCAGCAGCGAGGAGACGGTTGGAGGCAGTGGAGATGTCCTGTCTAAGGGCAATGTGTGGTGTAAATATTATGCAGAAAATTCGGAGTGTGGAAATTAGGAGAAGGTGTGGAGTTAATCAAAGCATTAGTCAGAGGGCAGAAGAGGGGTTGTTGAGGTGGTTTGGTCATTTAGAGAGAATGGATCAAAGTAGAATGACATGGAAAGCATATAAATCTATAGGGGAAGGAAGGAGGGGTAGGGGTCGTCCTCGAAAGGGTTGGAAAGAGGGGGTAAAGGAGGTTTTGTGGGCGAGGGGCTTGGACTTCCAGCAAGCGTGCATGAGCGTGTTAGATAGGAGTGAATGGAGACAAATGATACTTGGGACTGACGATCTGTTGGAGTGTGAGCAGGGTAATATTTAGTGAAGGGATTCGGGGAAAACCCGGTTATTTTCATATAGTCGGACTTGAGTCCTGGAAATGGGAAGTACAATGCCTGCACTTTAAAGGAGGGGTTTGGGATATTGGCAGTTTGGAGGGATATGTTGTGTATCTTTATACATATATGCTTCTAAACTGTTGTATTCTGAGCACCTCTGCAAAAGCAGTGATAATGTGTGAATGTGGTGAAAGTGTTGAATGATGATGAAAGTATTTTCTTTTTGGGGATTTTCTTTCTTTTTTGGGTCACCCTGCCTCGGTGGGAGACGGCCGACTTGTTGAAAAAAAAAAAAAATTTTTATTATTATTATTATTATTATTAATTTGGGGGAGTGCTCAACCTATCAGGATCATACAACACTACTCACACTATACTATTCACTGATCTACCCATACCTCACCTATGCTATTTGTGCCTAGGGTACCACAACAAAAATCCACCTAAAATCAATAACACAACAAAAAGCTGCAGTGCGAATGATTACACAATCCACTGCTAGACAACCCCCCCCCCCACTCTTCTTTGGGGACTGGAACGGATTAATGGCATTTCAATTAATTTCAACGAGGAAAATTGATTTGATATACACACAGTGGTACCTCGGTATACGTCCTTAATCCATTCCAGGACCTTGGACTTACATCAAACAGGATGTATACCAAACAAATTTTACCCTAAGAAATGTAGGGAAAACAATTGATCCGTTCCCATGAAAAAATCCTATTGTTATTGGCATATTATATATTGATGGGGTTGTATAAAATAATTTAAAGACTGCTTAATACAGTGGACCCCCGGTTTACGATATTATTTCATTTCAGAAGTATGTTCAGGTGCCAGTACTGACCGAATTTGTTCCCATAAGGAATATTGTGAATTAGATTAGTCCATTTCAGATCCCCAAACATACACATACAAACGCACTTACATAAATACACTTACATAATTGGTCGCATTGGGAGCTGATCGTAAATCGGGGGTCCACAGTACTAAAATATGTAATTTAAACACTGCTTAATACTAAAATATGCAATTTAAACACTGCTTAATACTAAAATACATACATAAATACAAAAGTATTAGATGAAATAAATGCAAATTTAAGCTCACTTTGCTTTGCTGAAAAGAGTCAAGAGCCTACTAGGATAGTGCTGAGAAGGGAGGAGGAAATGTTATTGTTTGGAAGGAGATTCCTTTTCTCTTTTAAGTCTCTTGTCCCTATTTGGACCTGGTTGAAGCTCACCAGGTTTGACTTTTACTAAAAATCTGTCTAAAGAACTTTGCTTCTGCCTTCTCCTCAGAATATTTCAGAAATATGACATTGTCTGGTCATTCCAGACTATGCTATTACAGCTTGTTTGGGCTTTGTTGGGGTGGTACTTCTCTGCAAAATTTTTGATGTCCATCCATTTGGCAAAGATTTCCTTGATAAAGTAGGGGCTTCCTCTGTCTCCTCTTCTGAGCCTGAAGAGAGCGCATCCATCTTAGTCTTGTGCTCCTCCTTCTCAAGTTCCTGCAGCTCCTCAGTGGTCAGCTCTTCCTTATGCCCCTCCACTAACTCCTCCACATCACCATCACTCACATCCAGACCCATGGACCTGCCCAGAGAGACAATATCCTCCACTATAGACACAGCCTCGAAGTCCCTTTCAGCCACTGCTTCTGGCCACAAATTCCTCCAAGCAGAGTTCAATGTTCTGTATGAACTTCCTGCTAGGCTTTGTCAGTGAGAGTTACACAATGGGCGATAGTAAAGCGATCTTTCCAAAACTCTCTCAGGGTTAGCTCTGTGTTATAGGTCACTTCCAAGCACCTCTGGAATAGTGCTTTAGTGTAAAGTTTCTTGAAATTATTGATGACCTGCTGATCCATGGGTTGAATGAGAGGAGTCATGTTAGGGGGGAGAAACTTTACAGCGATGAAGTCAAACTCTGGCAGCACATAGTCTTGCAAGCTTGGAGTTTGAGCTGGAGCATTGTCCATTATGAGGAGGGCCATCAGAGGAAGATTTTTCTCCTCTAAATATCTTTTTACACTTGGCCCAAACACAACATTAAACCATTTGCTGAAATATTCTCTGGTTACCCAAGCCTTGCTGTTCAACCTCCACATCACAGGTAACTGAGTTTTCTAGCAGACGAGTCATATTCCAAACAAAGGTCATATACCAAGCAAACATTTTTGCGTCCAAACAGAACGTATATCAAGTTGAATTTATTTCAAAGCAGACGTATACCGAGGTACCACTGTACAAGCAAACTGAGTTACGAGCTTGGTCACAGAACGAATTAAACTTGTAATTCAAGGTACCAGTGTATTTGACTGACAACAACCCCCCCCACCCCCACCCCCCACCACTACTACTACTACTACTACTACTACTACTACTACTGTCCCATCTCTATCTGCTGGCCTACATATACTCCCTCCTCTCCTTTTTGCTAGTGACTTTGTAAATGGTCTAAGTCAAATCGAAACGTCGTCGTAAGCTCCTCTTTCTTGTGTGCGGGTTATTTGTGTATGGTACAACTAGTACTATAAGTATCACAATTAGTACTACAAGTATCACAACTAGTGCTACAAGTATCACAACTAGTACTACAAGTATCACAACTAGTACTACAAGTACCACAACTAGTACTACAAGTACCACAACTAGTACTACATGTATTATCACAACTAGTACAAGTATCATGACTAGTACTACAAGTATCAACTAGTACTACATATATCAGAACTAGTACTACAAGTATCACAACTAGTACTACATGTATCACAACTAGTACTACATGTATCACAACTAGTACTACATGTATCACAACTAGTACTACATGTATCACAACTAGTACTACATGTATCACAACTAGTACTACAAGTATCACAACTAGTACTACATGATTGGAGAATACACTGGACCTCATCTTCACTAACAATGATGATCTGATATGAAATGTCACCATATCAAAAACAATATACTCAGATATCAACATAATAGAGGTTCAGACATGTATGCGCGGAGCCCCAGACCAACAAAATGTGATCAGTCACGAGGGATCCTTCACCAAATTCAACTTCAATAACAAAAACATAAGGAGGGACCAAGTAAACCAAGTCCTAAATGATATAAACTGAGAAGATAGCCTAAGCAACACGAATTCAAACCTATGTCTAGAATAAATTAACTCTGTGGCACTCGAGGTATGCTCAAGGCATATTCCTTTGAGGAAAAGATGATGATGTAAACTAGAAAGAAAAAGGCACTCCCTATACAGACGAAGGCAAAGAATAACACAGCGGCTAAAAGAGGCCAATATATCTGTAATACGTAGGGAGAAATAGCAAACATCGAACTAAAGCTAAAGGAATCTTACAGGAGTCAAGAAACGCAGGAAGAACTAAAAGCCATAAATGAAATTGAAAGAAACCCAATGTATTTATTTTCTTATGCCAAATTAAAGTCGAGAACAACATCCAGTACTGGGCCCCTACTTAAACAAGATGGGTCCTACACAGATAACAGCAAGAAAATGAGTGAGCTACTCAAGTCCCAATATGACTGTTTTTAGCAAGCCACTAACCAGAGTCAAACACCTAAAGGAATTTTTTATGAGAGACAGAATTTGGTAGACACAAACCTATCTGATATTGTCCTGATGCCAAATGACTTCATGCACTATGCCCCAGGCCCAGGCCACTCATCAAGAACTGTAAGAAGCCCCTATCATGTGCTTTTAACATCCTATGGAGAGGGAGCATGGACACAGGGGTCATCCCACAGTTGCTAAAAACAACAGACATAGCCCCACTCCACAAAGAGAGCAGTAAGACAATAGCAAATAGCTAAAGACAAATAGTGCTAACATCCCATATAATAAAAATCTTTGAAAGGGTTCTAAGAAGCAAGATCGCCACCCACCTAGATACCCATCAGTTACACAACCCAGGGCAGCATGGGTTTAAAGCAGGTCGCCCCTGTCTGTCCCAACTACTGGACCACTATGACAAGGTCCTGGATGCTCTAGAAGACAGAATGCAGATGTAATATACACAGACTTTGCAAAAGCCTTTGACAAGTGTGACCATGGTGTAATAGCACACAAAATGCGTGATAAAGGAATAACAGGAAAAGTTGGTAGATGGATCTATAATTTCCTAACAAATAGAACACAAAGAGTAGCAGTAAACAGAGTAAAGTCTGAGGCGGTTATGGTGAAAAGCTCTGTTCCACAAGGCACAGTACTCGCTCCCATCTTGTTCCTCATCCTCATATCTGACATAAACAGGGATATAAGCCACAGTGCTGTGTCCTTTGCAGATGACACCCGAATGTGCATGACAGTGTCCTCCACTGAAGACACCGCAAGACTCCAAGCAGACATCAACCAAATCTTTAAATGGGCCACAGAAAACATTATGCAGTTCAAAAACGAGAAATTTCAATTACTCCATTATGGAAAATGTGAGGAAATTAAAACTACATCAGAGTATAAAACAAATTCCAACCACACAATAGAGTGAGAAACTAATGTAAAAGACCTGGAAGTGATCATGTCAGAAGATCTCACCTTCAAAGACCATAACATTGTATCAATCGCATCTGCTGGAAAAATAACAGGATGGATAATGAGAATCTTCAAAACTAGGGATGCCGAGCCCATGATGACACTCTTCAGGTCACTTGTTCTATCTAGGCTGGAATATTGCTGCACACTAACAGCACCTTTCAAGGCAGGTGAAATTGCTGACCCAGAAAATGTACAGAGAACCTTCATGTCACACATAACTGCGATAAAACACCTCAGTTACTGGGAACGCTTGAAGTTCCTCAACCTGTACTCCCTAGAATGCAGGCGGGAGAGATACATGATTATATTGTATACACTTGGAAAATCCTAGAGGGATTAGTACCAAACTTGCACACGAAAATCACTCCATGTGAAAGCAAAAGACTTGGCAGGAGATGCAACATTCCCCCAATGAAAAGCAGGGGTGCCACAAGTACACTGAGAGACAACACAATAAGTATCAGGGGCCCAAGACTGTTCAACTGCCTCCCAGCATACATAAGTGAGATTACCAACAGACCTCCAAAACCCTCTCCAGGTATACTCCAGGTCTCCAGGTAAGGCAGGGTGATCCAAAAAAGAACAAACACTTCCATCATCACTCACTCCATCACTGTCTTACCAGAGGAATCCCAATACTACAGCTCAAAAACTGCAATACTAACCTTGAGCATCGGTCCTTTCCAGCAAGAGGTCAGAGTCAGTTGTGTCAAGGGTAAGAGCGAAGGAGAGAGCGTGCAACAAGCGGTGAGAATGACTGGGCCCTGACAACACCTGTGTCAGTCTCTCTCCTAAAACTTCGAGGCATCCCAGAAGCTGTCGAACACACGTCAAAGTCTTGGCACCATCTGCCAAGAGAATAAAACAGATGGTGTAACATTTAGCAACACTCCAGTCTGATGCACTTTCAAGAGAAGTGCCTTGATGCTGTGAAGGGTTTTTGATCCAAGGAATTACAGCTACCCTTCCCTTCCTTGGGCTAAACCTCATTAATCTTCCATTTCCACAGGAGCTGTATGGCCCCCTACAAGTTTAACATTCCCCATGAATATAAAAATAATAATAAGCTTTATGTATAGAAAAAAGTTTAGTCTGTAATCAACTTTTTTTTTTTTTTAGCGCACCAGCTATCTCCCACTGAAGTAGGGAGACCAAAAAAAAAGCTAACACATTCACCATCATTATAATAATAATAATAATAATAATAATAATAATAATAATAATAATAATAATAATAATAATAATAGCAATCATCTTTATAGTAGAACCTTGGCACTAGAACTAAATTGGTTCCAGAAGGCTGTTCGAGTGCCGATCTGTTTGAGTACAGAACAAATTTTTCACAATCAATTTTCTCTTTGGTTGGTGCTATCACAAACCCTCTTAGGCCCGATGGTGATTTACTTATACAAATATAAAAAAAACACCAAAAAATAAAAAGAAACACAAAATAGTTTACAGCGAAGTCCTGGCAGGTCATGCTTGTTTGGTCTAGTGCCAAGCAAACAATCAACTACCAAACAATTTGTTTACCAAACAAAGCGCTCAATTACCAAATTGTTCAGGTACAGAGCTGTTTGAGTACCAAGGTTCCACTGTGCTACAGGCGGGCCCCACTTATACAGAAGGTTAGGTTCTGGACTACTGCTGTAAAGTGAAATATGGCCTTTTTACACTTTCAAATACATATAAAAGCCTGATAACATGCTTACACTATTATATATTTAGTGAGCAACAGATCTAGGCCTAAAAAATACATACACGGTTGTTATGCGCCCTTCCTTCACACTCCATTATATACAAAAATAAGAGGCCTGGTTAAAATAAGTTCTGTAGTAATATATCGCGAACCACTTTATTACTAGCTAGATAAAGCAGGTTCGCCTATATATTATTATCGGGTACAGTATAAATCATCAAAGGTGCTCTCAAGCAAGGTTGTATTCAATAAGATGTTATTCGTTAGGCATTATTATAATATTATATTATGTTGTATTATATTATTATTGTATTATAGTAGGTTGATTACTGTGTTCTGTTATGCAAGTGGAAAACCACTGCTTTAGAGTCCGGTTGATGGTTCCAGAATTGGCGCCTGGCGCTACCTCCTGACCGACCTGACGTCAGACCACTGAGCATTTGAACAGTCAGTCAGATCATAGCATTGACTCTGATCGGGTCTTCAACCCAGAGATCTTAACTTAGTCAATAATTCTAGATCGTGTCTATTGTCTTAACTTTGCTGTTAATTCCAAGAGTCTGATAACCCTTCTCTTTAAGAAGGATAACTGATTGACTTCCTTAAAGTTCCCATAATAGTTCTTATTTGGACTCTTCATTGTAATTATTGTATTATACTTGATCCATGGGGATTTGAACATGAAGTAATTGTTGTATTATGCTTAATTCACGAGGATTTGAACATAGAATTATGTTCCTCATTGTACAGTCTCATTTCATTGATAATAGTGAATTGTCATTTTAATTCACTAACTGGATACCAATAAAGGTTCATAATTGGTAGTAAATAAAACTAACCAAAAGCAAAACTAAGTACTCATTCCCCCTATTGTTGTGACATAAACCAAGTCGTAACAACATTACATACATTACTTACCTTAAAAGGCTTTCGTCTTTAGCTCATAGTAAGTGGTGAATATATTCATTGTAGGTTGTTTAATGAAAGAAGAATGGGTGTAACAACAAACTGCTGTATTAGTGAAACACTGTGTGGTGAAGTGCTGTAAAGTGGGGCCTCCTGTACATAGAAAGCCTGGTTATGCAGAGCATTTTGGTTCATTCTATAGTCTATGTGTATCATAAATTAAGTTTTCCCATTTGTTTTTCAGATGTGTAAAGCAATATAGAAAATTAGATAACTGTGGCCCTAAACCCTTTACAAAAAAATGATAAACTTTTAACTTAAAAAAAAAAGGCAACAATTAGTGATAATAACAGTGGGAAAATTAAAATGTCTACTACCCTGTATTTCTCATTACAGAACAGTACAGTACTATATTTTAAATAAACAATGACAACACGTATTTCAGAATAACACAAAAACTGTATAATATGAAAACTATCCTTGTAATTACAACAACAACAACAATAATAATAATAATAAAAGAGTACTTTATTTCCACATGATACATCACTTACGAAACTGGGTGACATTTAATGGTAAAGTACACATGGACAGCTCCTAAGGACAATAATATATTTTTCTCTATGCAAACCTTTTTTGCTCCTTTTTCCTTCTGTTTAACTGTCTTAAAACATATAAGGCACCTTCTTGGAAACGTTGAATAAATATCTAAGAGGAAATATTTCCCACTCAGAGAGTGTAGCATCTGTTAAGAGACAGTAAACTCTTATTTTAACCCCATGAGGGCCCAGACCCCCAATCTGAAAATTCCCCACAGGGTCCAAGAATTTTCAAACAAAAAAAATTATTATTTTTTATTATGAAATGGTAGAGAATCTTTCTGATGGTAGTAATACAAAAAGTATGAAATTTGATAAAAATTTGATGAAATTAAGCTCTAGCAAATTTTGCTGTGTCAGTGATATTTACACATCAGCCATTTTGCCCACTTTGAGTCCCATTTTCAGCCAATTACACTGTTCCATTAGACCTAATTCTTAGCTATTTCACTAGTATGTGTTTCATTTTATCTACTGATCACAAGAAATCACTCAATCAACTATTACAACCACCCAATAAAGTGATCAGAAACTGGTAATTTGGCCAGTTTCACACAAAGTTCAAAATATTCCAATTTCAAAATAGGGTCAAGAATAAACTATGCAGGTATTCCTGGCACTAAAATAACATTTCCTCTGTTTATTAGTAATGTTTCCAGGCTTTACAGATGAATTCCATTTTTATTTTTTATTCACATAAAGAATTTTTATTCACACCAAAAAATAGAAGATTTACTGTTATGCAATACATGTATTGTAATAATTGTATAAATAATATCAGCACATACGTGAGTGCACATTAGATCCACCAGCTGACATGTACTGGACGCGTGATGTGATTTGTTTACTCTAGAACATCAGCATTTCCTCTACTTTGAGCTCAATTTCAACTATTTTCAGCACTTAACTAATCTCTATTTCTGTAATAAATTTTCCATTCTATCAAATGAGACCAAGAAATCACGAATGCATTTATCATATCTAGGCCCAAATTTACCACTCAGCTTATATGAGTGATGTAATACTACGGCACTGACCCTGGCTTCAAAGCCATAGAACTATGGCAAAAACCCCTGCGGGTATGTGCCAATATTTAACACTCTCTATCTGTCTAGTCTTAAGTAGTGTGTAAGCATTAGGATTAGTCTGCCCAAAATGCCTCAGCATGTTAGTGACTTTCTTTGTACCTAACAACACACACAAATTGTAAACACACATTGTAACCTTTGCAAAGAAATAAATTTTGTCTTTGTCTACGTTAACTAAAGAATGGTCAGCTTATATGACAACTACAACAAAACAGATTCAGAAACAACAGACAAATACGTAAATTACAGAATGGTCCATTAATGTTACAACTATGGCAAAACAGATTCTGAAACAACAGACAAATCTGTTAATTACAGAGTTAACCATTATTAATACAATCATCCTCTGTATGTATGTTCAAATTATTAAATAAATAAATAAATAAATAAATCATGGAAAAACAATTTCACTTCCACCACAATCACCATTACCAGCCACCTGCTACCCTCTATTACTCCATTCAATCAAAGGTGTACATGTAAATCCAAATTAAAAATACCAAAACAATAATGAGACAGCAAAATTGCACCTTCAAAGAGGAAGACTTCAAATTTTGCAGTCTGTTCAATTTTCATTCTAATAAGAAATTGTGGAGGCTAGTGCTCTATAGAATTTAACATGTTAAAAATATACATTTTAAAGCTGAAGCACCTAGTTTACTTTGTGCCCTTATGGTAATCCTGAAGACAGTGGTGAAAAAGTAAAAATATACACAAAAAAGGCCTAGGAACTAGGCCCTAAAAGAATGAATAAATTAACTGGGGCATACTGTAACATATCCATGGGGAAGTGGAATAAGAATCTTTCCTCCGTAAGCCATGCGTGTTGTAAAAGTCAGCTAAAATGCCAGGAACAATGGGCTAGTAACCCCTTTTTCTGTAATAAATTACTAAAAAGAATAAGAAGAAGAAAATTGTCAAAGTGGGAAGTCTGAATGTGCGTGGATGTTGTGCAAATGATAAGAAAGAGATGATTGTGGATGTTATGAATGAGAAGAAGCTGGATGTCCTGGCTTTAAGTGAAACAAAGCTGAAGCAGGTGGGAGAGTTTCAGTGGAGAGGAATAAATGGGATTAGGTCAGGGGTTTCAAATAGAGTTAGAACTAAAGAAGGAGTAGCAGTAATGTTGAAGGATAAGTTATGGCAGGAAAAGAAGGACTACAAATGTATTAATTCAAGGATTATGTGGAGTAAAATAAAGGTTGGATGTGAAATGTGGGTTATAGTAAGCGTATATGCACCTGGGGAAGAGAGAAGTGTATTGGAGAGAGAGAGATTTTGGGAAATGTTGAGTGAATTCGTGGGGAGTTTTGAACCAAGTGTGAGAGTAATGGTGGTTGGGGATTTCAATGCTAAAGTGGACAAAAATGTTGTGGAGGGAGTATTAGGTAAATCTGGGGTGCCAGGAGTAAATGAAAATGGGGAGCCTTTAATTGAGCTATGTGTAGAAAGAGGTTTGGTAATAAGTAATACATATTTTATGAAGAAGAGGATAAATAAATATACAAGGTATGATATAGCACATAATGAAAGTAGTTTGTTAGATTATGTATTGG